AGAGACTGAGAAATGGGAAAAAACAAAAATGAAAAAAAAAAGAAAAGGGTAAAAGAAAAAAATGAATAAATCAAGAAACTGGAAGTGAAGAAAGACAAAAAGGGAATAAGAGAGAGAAGAAAACAAAACAAAGAAACAAAAAAAACCAAAACCAAAAAAAAGAAAAAGAAATGCTCCCGGGGATGTCCCTGTGCTTCTGTGCAGAGTAAGGGAGTAGCTTCCAAGCCGCGTGGTACTGCCCAGCTAGAAGGGTCTCCCAAGCCGAGAAAAGAAAAACAAAACAAACAAACAAACCAAAACAGAACAAATCAGTGCAAACAAACAAATAAAAAAGCCCCAGACGTTCCACCACCATGGTGGCATGGGCCGGGAAGCAATTTCACAGTTGGGTGGTGGAAGCAGCAAAGATGGCACACAGAGCCGGATATTTGAGAGAAAGGAGGGGGAGGTGGTGAGAGATAAGGAAGAAATCTAAAGAAGAGGAAAAAAGCAACACCAGCAGCCAACAAAAGGCATTCAGGGAGCCAGCCAGTGCAGGCATGTGGAATCCAGGTGACACCGGGGTGAAGCTGGTGCTTCCTGGCCAAGAGACTGTGGCTGCAGGAAGCAAAAGAGGCAGAGTAGGGGGTGAAGAAGGGTGAGTGGTGGGAAAGCCTATATCAGTGCTTACTGGTTGTTCTGTCTTCTGCTGGAAGCTCCATGAAGCTGCTTTCTTGTACCCCCTGTTTGCTGATCTCTGATAGGAGTCCAAGATGGTGGATCCATGCTGCAGTAGCTGATAGGGGACCTGTGCATGTATCTCTCCTCGGTCTCTGTCCTCAGTCAGTTTCTTATTCCATTCAGTGCTTGGTTGAGTTCTTTATCTCTTCATTTGATGCTTAGGGTTTCAGGATTGACGTGTGACTGTTTGACTTAGTTTTTCAGATCTTTGCTGTGGAGGGACAGCATGGTGCTTCTGACTATAGCGCCACGTTCCCGAGAAGTTCAGAAAATGCCTTTCTAAAGAACAGTTTATCATCATGCAGTTTATTATCATGACCTAAGAGATGTCTTAGAAATTTATGACCTAGGAAGATATCTATTCCATAAAGAAAATCAGAGCAACTAATCAATTAACAATAATAAATTTAAATTTTTCAATAGTTAATGACTTCTATAAAATTCATCTCATTAAAATATTTTGACATACACTTGGAAACTAGTTTATCTTAGTGGATATAGCAGGAAATTGCATACACGCTTTTTGGGTGCTGTGTTGGGAGCATTTTTCCTTTTCCTTTTGTTGCTGCAATTTTATAAATAAAAGTAGACATTGTGTACTACAGCTGCCTCAATTAAAATTTTCAGATGATATAGATATGACATGAAGATGAATATTTAAAGACATGGAAAGATATCGTACATTTTCAAATAAAAATACAGTTTAAAAATAATGTATTTGTTATGATTTAAGACAAATTCCACCACAGGAATTGGGAGTATAGTCTTTATTTTTATTCTTTTGTCCAGTATTATAATAAAAGTGTAAAGTATTAAAGGACAGGGTCCAAGGTGGAGCTCAGCTTTTGATAACTATGGTAGGTGGCTATTTAACCTCTATAAATATCAGTTTATTCACACATAAATGTGAATACTTATTTGTATGTGTGGACAGGTAACTCCTCAGAAAAATTGTGCCAATTTAATTTTAAGTCCTAGAGAAATGAGTTGTTCATTCCTATACCTTTTCCAACTCAGAATATCATCTGCACTTTTTTTTTGGTGCTAATTTAATCGGAGAAAATGAACTAGGTTGATAAATTTTTATTTCTTTGCTTACTAATAAAGTTGTTGATTTTTCTTTTATTAACTTGAATTAATCCATTTGTCATTTTCTTATTCAGATGGTAATTTTTTAATTTCTAATTATAAAGAGCTCTTTATTGACTAAGGATATTAATTTTGCAATTCTGATATAAATGCTGCAAATATATTTTGTCAGTTTGTTGTCTGCCTTTCAGTTTACTTTATAGTATTTTTGAAACATTGAACTTTAAAATGTCTTTGCAGTTAGATCTTGCAGTTTTGTCCTATATGATAGCTGCTGTTATGGATTGAATTGTATTTCTTCAAAATGTGTGTCAACTTGGCTAGGCCATGATTCCCAGTATTGTGTGATTGTCCACCATTTTGTCATCTGATGTGATTATCTTACATGTTGTAACTTCTACATTTATGGTGTTAATGAGGCAGGATTAGAGGCAGTTATGTTAATGAGGTAGGACTCAGTCTACAAGATTAGGTTGTGTCTTAAGTCAATCTCTTTTGAGACACAAAAGAGAGAAATGAGCAGAGAGACAGGAGGACCTCATACCACCAAGAAACAGTAGCCAGGAGAATAACGCATCCTTTGGACCTGGGTCCCTCTGCTGAGAAGTTCCTTCACCGGGGAAGATTGATTACACTGACCTTCCCCCAGAGTCAGAGCTGGCAGAGACAGAAAGTTTCCCCTGGAGCTGGCACCCTGAATTTGGACTTCTAGCCTCCTAGACTGTGAGAGAATAAATTTCTCTTTGTTAAAGCCATCCACTTGTGGTATTTCTGTTATAGCAGCACTAGATGACTAAGATACTTGCCTTGCCCTGATGCTTAAAAGTACTTCCTCATATTCAAGATTTTATAATTATTTACTAATATTTCTTCAGGTATATTTAGATTTTTTTTTTACATTTGCATTTAAATGTTTTACTTTTATTTTTTACTACATAGTAGAAGTAGGAAAAAAACTTCATTTTTTTTCCAAAATAGTTTATTTCAACGACATTTGTGTAATCATTTATCATTAACCTACTCTCTATCTTGGATACTAGACTTCCTAATATGTTCCACTAATCTATCAATGTATCTATTATTATACTCAGAATACAGTTTTTATATTATAGCTTTATAATATATTTATGTTCACTTAAGCATAATGCTATTCATCTTTTTTTGTAAAAAACATGAATTTTTGTTTGTTTATTCTTATGGATAAAATTTAGAATCATTCATCTACTTATACTTTAAGTTGTATTGCTAAATTGTGTTTATATTTTTATGTCAACTTCAATCTTTTTTTTGAATGAGGTAAAGTATGAAAAAGTAATTCTATTGCAAAAACTTGGGAATTTTGGCCTCAATTTATTTTTCTAAACATAATATTTTTAATACCTTCCACCTGAAGTTTGGTTGGAAGCATCTTTAGAAGAAAAGTATTTAAATTCAGTAACAATTTCTTAGGTAAAAGATAAGCCCATCTATTTGGTGGTAGAAAACATAATATTTTGCCTAGTCTAAAGAAATCAAGTATAAACTCCTAAATAAATCCTTCTAACCCCATAAAAGAAAGAAATACGTATGCTTTTATGGCTGAAGAACAAAGGAATCTTTAGTTCTCATACCTATATGAGCATAGCGTTTCACATACAAAATGAAATGGAAATTCAAGTGTATAAAATGCAAACACAAAGGACATCTACTGATACTTACAGTGTAACTTAAAACACACTTAAGGCATATTTTTGAAAGCTTGTGTAAGGATAGCAGGTTCATTAGCTTATGACATCCTCTGAGTCATTCTTAAAACCACTCAAGTCACTTCATTAAATTTCTCTCCACAAAGATTTTTGGCCTGGGTCTTTGTGTTTTCCAGACATAATGAGTCTATTGTGGGGATCATAACACTGAGTCATGGGCACCACTTAGGATTTTAGCTCACCAAGAACACATATGAAAGTCTTCATCATGTAGGAGTTTGCACAGGCTGTAAACAATGTTTGTGGTTTTAAATATCGTTTATTAGAAGTTATTGCCTGCTCCATAGGATCACTGTTGGAATCCTTACTGTTCTCAAGTACCATAAAAGAGTGCAAACAAAATCATAAAAAAAGAAAATTTGGCACTATTTATAAAGGAGCATTTCTTTTCTTTTTTTCTTTTTTTGTATAGTTCTACCAATATAAGTAACATACAAAATTGTATTGATGTAAGTCTTGAACAATTCAAGTCAAATATATTTTTACTTTTAATATTAAAATATAATTAGAAGTTCTACTTCTATACTTCATGTCTGTGAACCTCTGTAGCTGATCACTTAGAAACTTTACTAGTGAAAATATGGAATTATTTATTCAGTGAAAGCCAAGAGAGGGAGACGGAGAGTGTGAGCAAGTGAGAGAAAACAAGACAGAGAAATAGGTAAAAGTGCATCAAACAGATTAACCTCCTAAGACTCAGGGAAATATGTTTGTTTGTTTATAGAAACTCTATAATCATAGAATGATTGTTTCAATAACTTCTTAAGTACACCTGAGTATAGGCACTCTTGATCTAAAATCAGATTTGTGAGACAATCTAACTAGTTCAGAAACCACAGATTATGTTGTATATATGTTTGCATATCACAACAATTTTATCATTGTATAATAAATTACAATATTTTAGGTGGTTAGTCGCATGTTTTAGCTGGATGATGAATAAGGAAGACCAAAGAAGAACTGATGCCTTTGAATTGTGGTGTTGACGAAGAATATTGACTATACCATGGACTGCCAAAAGAACGAACAAATCTGTCTTGGAAGAAGTACAGCCAGAATGCTCCTTAGAAGCAAGGATGGCAAGACTATGTCTCACATACTTTGGACATGTTGTCAGGAGGGATCAGTCCCTGGAGAAGGACATCATGCTTGGTAAAGTAAACGGTCAGCTAAAAAGAGGAAGACCTTCAATGAGATGGACTGACACAGTGGCTACAACAATGGGCTCAGGCATAACAATAATTGTGAGGCTGGCCTAGGCCCAGGCAGTGTTTTGTTCTGTTGTACATAGGGTTGCTATGAGTCGGAACTGACTCAATGGCACGTAACTATAGTCCCGTGTTGAGAACACTGAATTTCACCTATTCACAGTTTTCCATCCTGTTATTTCCCAAGAACATAACTGCCTAAGGGATAACAGAATTATAAGCAGTGACTCACACGTACCAGAACATTGATGATCACCTGAGCAGTACTACTTCTCTGTCTGAGGGGGTCAGGGATAGCATCGTTGTCCAAGTCTGTTATTCTCACAGCAATTTTGTACTGTGGTTCAACTTCCCTATCTAGTGAATTCAATAGCTTTATCATTCCTAACAAAAGAAGAAAGGGCAACATCTTAGTACAGGAATTACCAAAATCATATAATTTATGATAACTATATGAAAGAATCATTGCAATACAAAATAAAAATTAGTCAATATGAATTAATTTTCTTTGTATGTTCATATCCCCAAAGTGTCAGCAGCAATATTATGGCAGATATTAAATCACAGGCAATATTAATCATCTGTTACATATTCTTAGATATTTAGAAGAACATATATGTGTGTAGCATTTCTGAATATATAACTTTTAAAAAAACAAAAGTTTCAGTGTTTTTCCTACGGTAACTAAGAATTTGTGGATACATTAAACAAACCAAGGTAAACATTGCAAATTTTGGGAGAAAGTTATTCTTTTAGAACGTTCGCATACCCACAGTTTCTAAGTAAAAATAAAAAATTCCAAATAAATAAGGGTGTTCTTTTATTTATATCATTTGGTATCAGAGTTTTATAGTACCTGTGTCTGCTTCAATGTAAAATTTGGGAGGTTTTCCAAAATTACCTCCAACAATTGTATACTTTGTATTATTAAGTGGTCAGTCTGCATCTGTAAGTGAAATTTTTCCAACTAGGGTATCAGTAGGACTATTTTCCAATATACTGAAGGTAAATGTCGATGTAGTTCCAATTGGATTCAATTCATTTATGCAACGCACCCTTATGATGATTGTAATAATTGCTATGGAGAAAAAAAAAACATAAAAATATGGTTAGGAATTGTACATGTAACATGTTGAAATGGGAAATGTTTTGTTATATATATGTGTGTGTATATATATATATATATAAAGACATTTATATATATTGTGGTGGAATGAGTTTCTTTATGTGATCTTTTTGCCTTGGTTCTTTGGAAAAACAGCTTGAGAATTTTTTCCTCCTACTCCCTGAGGAGTTACCTTTACCCTAGTTTTCCACCCTAGAGGATCTGTTATTTTTGCCAGGTTGATTGACATTTCCTGGGTAAGCTGTAAACAACTTGGTTTGATACTTTTTGTCTGGTCCTGGCCCTGTGATTGATATGCATCTTGTAAGGATTTGTCAATAGATTATGCAAATGAGGTGAGTTGTAGCCTACTATGCAAATGAAGTGACTGTGGCTTTCTGGGATGGGATTGGTCAGTTTGTGACCCCTGGGAGAGGCTCTCTCCACTGGGAGAGGCTATGCCTTAAAATTGACAAGCAGCCAACCCCACAGAGATTTTTGAGACAGAAAAAAGCAGGAAGAGAAGCAGCAGAAAGAAGTAGAAGGAACAAAGAAAAAAGAAGAGAGAAGAAGGAGAGAGAGAGAGGAGGTAAGGAATCTCTTAAAAGAGCTGTAACATAGGTCCAGGGCTGTAACACTGAAGACAGTGAGAGGCCCACAAGGTGCCCAGCGGCAGAGTGTGTGGCGACAGAGGTCAGGGCCAAGAGGAGCCTGTTCCCAGGGGGCTGAGAGGAGCCTGTCCTCAGGGGGCCAACAAGAGGCCTGCACTGTAGACAGGAGCCGAGAGAGCTGTCCTGAACTGAAGAAGGGAGACTGCCTATATGCTTCCTGATCCTGATCCTGAGTTGTGGCCTGCTGATTCTGATCCCAAGTTCCTTAATAAACACTGTTCCTTAATAAACCACTCAACTGCAAGTATGGTCTGTGAGTTCTGTGTGGCCATTGCAATGGATTACCGAACCCAGAAGTAGAGAGTGCCGTGGGAAGGATGACTGGTGTCAGAATTGGTAAAAACGTTGGAGAATGGAGGTATGTCTGACCTCCACCTCACGGGAATCAGCTTTGGGCTGATCCTGGTCATTATTCCCACTGAAGTTAGACAGGTTTGAATGCTACTGCTACTGCTAGTACTTCCAACATTTTATATACATATAGAGAGAGAAAGAGAGAGAGAGAGAGATCCAGCAAGCTAGGGTGATCATATGTCCATTTCAGTTAATTCATAATTTTGCTTTTCCTTTTTAATTAACACCTAATGTTACATATTAACTTCCAAGTTTAAAAATTATACAGACACATCTATATTGATATTTTTGTTATTAAATTATTATGTTTTCAATTATAGAGTATTTAAAAAATAACTGTAAGAATAAAATATTCTAATAACTAGTTTTGAACACCTGTGAAAGCAATTGCTTTATATAGAGTGTTTATATAAATGCTACTATTATGGAGCCCTGTGGAGCAATGGTTAAGAGCTCAGCTGCTAACCAAAAAGTAGGCAGTTCAAATCCGCCAGCTGCTCCTTGGGCACCCTATGGGGCTATTCTACTCTGTCCTATAAGGTCGCTGTGAGTCACAATTGACTCGACAGCAAGAGGTTTTTTTTTTTGGTTATTATTTTGAATTAAGTATCACAGTTTCCAAGAGCAGACACATTTTTCTCCAGTTGAAATATGATTAAAATACTTCAGCATGACAATATAATAAATAAAAAAATGAAGGAAATGATTTACTATGAAAATTTGAATATTACTATTTTTTCAAATGCAGAATAAACTAATTCCCAGAGAAGTCTATTACACACACAGAGATTTCAGAAAAGTCCATCTTTAACATTACTTTTAAATAACTGCAATGTATTGTATTAAACATTTGGGCATCATTCTCTCACTCAAGATCCAGTTTTTCAGTGAAGCATGAAAACTCATTTCTAAGGGTTATTGTGTTACATTTATTCCAAGATATAATTGAAAAGTATCACATGTAATATTGTTGATTTCTGTTTTCCTTAAGTTAAGACAATACTAAGTTTGCTTGAAGGTCAGTGTTTGAAAGAGTAACGTATTAGGCCACATAGTATGATAAAATCACATTATTTTCTACCCAATATAGAGATGATACATTAAAGATGTGTGTATGTGACTATGTGTTTGTTAAGTATTGATTCATATAACTTATAGCATCTTTTATCTTTTGAAAATATTTTCATTAGATCATTTTAAAATTATGAATAGAGAATAATGATGAGCACATAGAATCAATAATTGTATTTGGCCACTCAGTTTTTAAAACAGAAGCTTATATGTGCTAAATAAGTTTTATATAACTCAAAATATTTTAATATTTTAAATTAATAACTTCTTACTTGATAGTACAGGATTTCCCTCATCAGACACTCTCACAAACAATGTATATTTGAATTGCATTCCTGCAAAAATAGCATTATCATAATCTAGATGTGTAGGGCCAATCTGCAAATGAAAAAGATTACATAGATGGTTATTTCTTTTTGGCAAAACGTGAATTTTATTGTTTACATGAAAATGATATTTTACAGTAGTGCTGTCCAAAAGAAATACAATGTGAGCCGTGATTGCAAGACAACCAAAAAAAACCTAACCCGTTCCCGTCGAGTCGATTCTGACTCATAGCGACACTATAGGACAGTATAGAACTACCCGATAGAGTTTCCAACGAGTGCCTGGTGGACTCGAACTGCTGACCTTTTGGTTGGCAGCTGTAGCGCTTAACCACTATGCCACCAGGATTTTCATATTTGCAAGTCACATATGTAATTTAAAATTTTCCAGTGGCCACATTTTAAAAAGTTAAAAGAAAACAGGTGAAGTTCATTTTAATAACATATTTTCTTTACTCCAGTATATACAAAATACTCTCATTTCAGCATGTAATGAACATTAAAAGGTATTGATGAGTTGTTTTACATTATTTTGTTCATACTAATTCTGTGAAATCCATTGCATATTTCACTCTTGGAGCACATCTCTATTCACACAAGCCACATTATGTACTCGAAATGCACATGTATCTCGTGGCTACCATACTAGAGAGCAATTTTAAAATATATAAACTGCAAATTTACCACAAAAAACTAAGATAATATTAGTGTATATATGGCACGTTGTAATTATTACCTTATATTGTAAAAGTATACTAGTAGCAAGACAAAGATTTTCATTTTATTTTATGTACATTCAATCACATTGATTCATTTGCTATAGGTTTTTTTTTTCCTACTCCATAGACCCCTTCATAAATAGCTACTATAATGTGTATTAAAGGCTTACAAAAAGGAGTTGCAGTGGATTTATTTGCATTTTTAAAAATGACTTAGGTTTGTATTAGTATTACCATGAGCAATATCTCAGAAGCAAGTTTTAAACTGCAAGCTTCAAAATCATGCAAAAGCAGAACTTGAGATCTATTCTGTGAGAGAGGTCAAAACATCTCATATTTTTGCCTTTCAGTTTACTCTTTTGGGAATAATATGCAGGGCAGGCTTGAGGCTTTCAGGATCTTTAATAAAATTATGTAAAAGGGGCAATGGGTAAGAGTTTCCCCCTTCACAACTCATGCAAATCACACAGTCCTCAGGGTGGTTGTAGCCTAGAGTATGTTTGGGGCCTAAGAGGAGTGGAAGGAATGTAATGGCGTGCTATGTCTCTAGATCTGAGTTCCTTTTTGTGTCTTAGCCATATTCACGTTAACTAGTTTCCACAACAAAAGCCAACACCTAAAAAGGAGGGAAGTTTTGGGTAGCAGCTAGGTACTGAGTCAGTGCAGAAAAGCATAGGTTAACAACCCTGTTTTCTTAAGATTCTACAATAATACAAGAATTATAGAAATTGAGGACTATAAATGAATTAGTCAAATGGGAGGAAACAGCTTCCTCAAGAATAAAGTAGAATATTACGTGATTTCTAAGGTTATATTAAATTCTAAAATTATGTACTTTGTACTTTAAATAGACAAAGAGAGGTGATGTGGGGAACATAAATGGCACTGAACCAGATCTTAATCAGGTAATGTTTATGTGAATTAAATGAATGCCTTTTTTCTTCCTTTTTATATTAAAAATAATATAAAATAGTTATTTTATTATACTAATTAAGAAAATATAGCATTAGCATAAGTAGAACTAAGCTGAACATTGAAAAGAACTTCACCATCAGCAAGAAAATAGCCAGAAGCAGACACATACATAAACAGAAATGCTATATGTGTCAGAGATGGCATTGCAGGTCACTGTATACATATTGCTGTGAAAGTTGGCTAGCTAAATGTAGGAAAAAAAATTGAATCCCTACTTCCCACCACACCACAAAATCAGTCCCTTACAGTTAAAAAACTTAAATGTGAACAACCACTTTCAAAAATATTTATAGGAAAATATAGAAAATTTCCAGAATATGTGAACATACAATGCAATTCAATACGAAAAACAAACAAACAAAACACAAATGGGTAAAATATATGTTTAGTCTTTTTACACAAAGGAAACACAAAAGTTTCATATGTTTATTCACAAAATTGGTGAATATATGAAAAGATGCTCAACTTTATTACTAATCCAGCAAATCTGTGTTACATTGTGTGATAGTGTGAGATTTCATGGTTAAGAGTGAGTGTAATCTGATACAACCACTTTGGAAAACAGCTCAGTGCTACCTTATATAGTTGAACATTTGCACACACTATGACATGGCAGTTCCATTATTACGTATATACCCTAGAGAAAGTCTTGAATGTGGGCACCAAGAGAAACACACAAGAATGTATATTACAGGATCATGCATAAAAAGCAATAACCAGGAGGATATCCAAATCGGTATCAATGGGAGAATGGTTATAGTTACGTAATGGAATACCGTAGAAAATTAGACAATTATCTAAAATTAGAAAATTGGATGGATGGATGGATAGATGGATGGATGGATAGAAAAACAGATATCACACATAGATGACTCTTAGAAATATACATTAAAAAATCAAGTCACAGAGACTACAGCATGTTAGCCATAAGGTTGTGAAATCTTCTATGAGATTCCATCATAAAATGTGAGGCAGTGACTGGTAAATGTGTAGAGGTTGTATGAAATGGCATTCAGGACTGGGCAGGAGTCCAATGGCAGAGAATCAACTATCAAAACAAGAGTAGCTACTGAGACTATTTATGTACAACCAAAACCTCATGGGATTTGCTTCCTTGGTTTGGAGATTTAGAGTCATGGTTTCACGGACATCCCAGTTAATTGGCCTAATAATATGTTTAGTGCTTCTGTTCTACTTCCTAGTTCATTGTGTAGTGCCTGGGGTCTTAAAAGTCTGCAAGTGGCCATCCAAGGCATGACAATTGATCTCTAGTGAGGAAAATGGGTCAGGAATAGGAGGAGGAAATGGAATGTGTGGCTAATTGCCTCCATAAACAATTGCTTCCTTTCCCATGAGACCAGAAGAACTGGGTGGTGCCCGGCTACCACTACTGAACATTTTGAAGATTCTATAGAACAATCCTGATCAAAAGGGTAAAATGTAGAACTAAATTTCATATTCTTATGGACTCCAGACTTTCTGGAGCTATGGGGACTGGATGAACCTCTGAAACTACTGCCCTGAGATAATCTTTAAAACTTAAACCAAAAATATCTCCTGAAGTAGTCTTAAAACCAAACAATAGTTTAGCTAAATTAGTAAAAAATATCTGTCTTGAACATTATGTTCTTTTAATAACTATCTATATAGGATAAAAGTGATGACAGCAACTCAAAAGATTAGATAGGAAACTTAGGGGGCAGTGAATTTGTATTAATGAGGGAGGAACAACTCAGAAAAGGAGGGTGAGAATGGTTGCACAACTCAAAGAATGTAATCAATGTCACTAAATTGTACATGTGGAAACTATTGAATTTGTATATGTTTTGCTGTGTATATTCTCAACAATAACAACAAAATAAATTTAAAAAGGTGGGGAGTGGAGAGGAGAATGCTTTTTACCTAGTGTCTTACTCATCCAGACCAGTAGGGTTTCTTATCAGCCAGTTGGTCAGGTGAGTAAGTTTTTATCCTATTAATGTCCAGACATTACTCACGAATCCTGGTTCAACACAATACCTGACCCAATTCTGCCTATTCTATTTGAAAATATGTCAATATTGCAACATGATAGCCTGACGTAGGTCTCAAAAATTATTAGAAATAAAACCTCATCCCTGAATTGGTAAATTATTTAAGCTACATATTTCTGGGTACAGCAATGAAGTAATGCATATTTACTACATTTTATGTCATGTTAAAGTTTTTAATATTTAACATATTTATTAATGGTAATTAGGGAAAGTCCAATACATTCCAAAGGAATAGCCAGAACTTTATCATAGAACTATTTGTACTAGGAAATTTATAACCTTCCTAGTTGAATTCCCAAGATCAAAATTGCATTCCAGCATTCATCCCAAACTAAGATATTTTGTGGACAATTCATGGTTCAGTTGAAAATACAGGAACAAATTCTGCCATCAGCTATTTGAACTACTGTAACTCATTAAGAATTTTATAATAAAAATACAATGTTTTTATATGTAAGATTAATCACAGTGCCACAATCAGAGAGCAACTATAAGATACTTTGAGTTCATTGTTTGTGAGGGTAAAAGCTTCATTTGAAAAAGTATCTATAATCAAATGATAAGTAATATTGTTATTGGGTTCGGTTCCATCCTTATCTGTACAAGTTTGAGAGACTAAAAGAGCTTCAACTGGGATGTGTTTGGGAAGTTCAATTCTGTAATGAGTAAAATATGAGAAAAATGAGTTATAGCATATTAATCTAGATTTATGCAGATAATACTTAATTTAAAATATGTTTTAAAAAGTGCTGATATTTTAAATGTCCACTTCTTCAAATAAGGAAATCATAGTGTTGGCAAAAAAATTATGCAAGATAAAAAATTATTTGGTGTCCTTGCCAAGGTTTAGGGAAATAAGCTGCTGTTATGTTGGATCAATAAGCAGCACATTTTAATAAGTCATGTGAATATATTATCATTGATTAAAATGTCAATTTGTACGTCAAATTCATAATTTTATATTTATAAATCTTACAGCTGAAAGTGATCTCTTAAATTACCTAGTCCATGCTTTTTTCTTTAGGCAGGTAAGTTATCAATGTCTCCATTTTAAAAATAAGGAAACTGAGAACTAGAGGAGACAAATGACAATTAAAAGGACACAAGCTAGTAAGTAATAGAGAAGAGAATAAATTCTTGACCTTTTGTCTCCCTGTGCAGTATGATTTTCTTTGTTTTCTTGTTATTTAAAAATATCTTGCTGTTAGGATGTTCAATAAAATAATATTGGACTTGAACTAATACATTGATCTAGTCCATGCATAGCTAAAGTTGAAGTAATGTTATGACTGATTAAATATTAATTTGTTTAACAGTTAGCAGGG